ATATCCTTGTCACATATGTGTATTACTTCATGCATCTTGGGGGGGGACGAGTGAAACTTTTTTTTTTTTTTTTCCCCTAAACGAGTAAAAATCACATTGCTTTTTCATCCTTCGCTAAAAACAAAAAAACAAAAAAAAACTTCGAGATGTGTGAGTAATGAGTATGAGATTGTGTTTGGGAGAGAGAGTGAACCAATTTGGGGGAGGGGGGGGGGGGGGGGGTTCAACGCGACCTGCAATGTGAAGGATGTTGTGTTCTCCACAACGTACATAGGTGAGTACTACACTAGTACTACACGAAGGGAAAGGGAGGCATTTGAATAGACAGATAGACTGAGGAGAGGGGGAGGGCGAAGAGGCGCGCAGGTTCAAGTTGGCACAAAGGCGGAGATTTCGAACAGAGGCAAAGAAGCGTCGGTCGGATATAAAGAGGATATGGAGGGAGAAAGGAGGGATTCGAACAAAGGCGGAGAAGCTTCGGTTGGATAAAGAGGGGAGGGGAGGAGAAAGGAGGGATTGGACGGTAAGGGGGAGGGCATTCCGCGCCAAGGTGGTGTGCGTAGGATGTTCGCAAAAGCTCTGCTCGCTTATTGATTGCTACGTAGGCTCCTTCTATGGGAGGTTAAGGACACAGCGGCGTAAAGGAAAGGAGAATGTGATCAGGTCTCCTGTCCATCAGAGCAATGAAGATGGACGCTGTGCACTGAGGAATTAACGAGTCTGTGCTGAGGAGTTTGCGTCTGAGGGCATACTCACACTAGGACATTTTCGCTAACGCTGTGGCAGCAAATGTGGTTAGGTTCGTGAAGCCCTGGCCGTAAATGCGGTCAGATGCATTTCGGAAAGTGCTGGTGTGAGTATGCCATGAATCCTTCTTACAAGGAGGAGGGTGATGTGCACTAAGGTGATGGTTTGAATGCGAGTGCATTTGCGGCCAGACCTTCACGAACCTAATGGCATTTACGGCCACAGCGTTGGCGAAAATGTCCTAGTGTGACCGCACTGAGGTGAAAAGAGAGAGAGAGAGAGAGAGAGAGAGAGAGAGAGAGAGAGAGAGAGAGAGAGAGAGAGAGAGAGAGAGAGAGAGCCCTTGCGAAGATAATTAACTTAAAGACATTAGAACAGGAAGCAAAACAAACAAGAGAGGAAACAAACAAATTTTAAACAAACAAACTAACAAAGCAAGCGAATAAACAAAAAACTTGAAAGAAGTAAACAAACCAATGAGTAGACGAAAGAAACAAACCAGCAAACGAAATTGAAAAATAGAAAAGAGCATGGTCTTCTTCTATCTTCCTCTAAGGTTTTTTCTTGACCAACTTCACCGTGTTGGCATCCATATACACACACACAAATGCACAGACACGCACACACACCCCGCCTCCCCTTTCTTTCCCCACTTCCTTTCCTCCTCCTCTCTTTCCCCCCCCCCACACACCCCGTAACCCTTCCCTTACCTCTCTCTCTCTCTGCCACTTTGCATGTGCGTGTGTGCGTGCACGAGCGCGTGTGACTGCATGCTTGTGCATGGGGATGTTTGTGCGCATGCGTGCATGCTTGCCTGCGGGGACGTGTGTGCACATGCGTGCGTGCCATCTCCCCCGATCGCAGCCGCGTTCCCTAAGAAAACGATTGGTCCGTGTCCAGTTGGCGACCACAACCTTATTAGATGCATAAACCACCAGTACTTGGCCCAGCTATCAAGTCCGAGCCTCGGCCGACTGGTATGACGAGCCTTGCCGAGGCTCGAACTACCGAGCGCTAACTTCCCAAACGTGCTTGGAAAAGAATACGGAATAAATAAAACAAAAACAAAAATAACAAAAATAAAAAGCAACGACAGAAAACGGGATTTGAAAAAAAAAAAAACGAAAAGAAAAAAAGAAACGTGATTTACTCTAAAACATATGGAAAAAAAGAAAAAAAAAACGATTACTATAGACACGCGCAAAAGACAATAATCAAGGTCGCCGCCTCTCTCTCTCTCTCTCGCGCGCGCGCGCGCGCGCGTGCGCGTGCGTGTTTTCATTATCTATACCGTAACGGGAATGGATCTTCCGGCGAAAGCGGGAAGATTCAGTCCCATT